GAATATGTGTTCTCCAAATGCTTTTCTGTGAAGTAAATGTTTTTCTAATTAAGCTTCAAAATGTGAAATTTTCTTGCAAAATTGATTTTCTATTAAGGTACTAAAGTAGTTTCTCTTCCCTTCTGCTTGGATATTAATTAAATTATGTCCCAACTTGTTTTAATTCAGCAATCAATTTTTTTTTTGCCATTTGCACTGGATCACAGAATCTCATTTAAAAATAAGTCTTGAATGAATTGTACACAAAACAGAAGTGATAGACATATTCTCTCATGGAGACAACAGAGTACTACTCCGGTTATGAGATGAACTTGCTCAGAAAATTTTTAAAATGTTGCATTCTGGTGGTATCTATCTCTTATGCTGTATTTTTGAAATAAGTATTACTGGAAAGCATGGGGATAAAAATAGAAACAAAATACTAACCCCCCCCCCAAACAAAATACTAAAATAAAAATACTAAGATAAGTGGTACTGGAGGGCAGGGGAATAAACAATAGGAACGAAATATTAAATGATTTGAAGAGGTACTTAACTCTGGGGTGCAGGACTGAGACAATTTCTAAAATGATTATAAATAAAATGTACAAATAAAGAACATGGAGGAATAGCTACTGATTGCAACATTTGAAGGAATTAAGTGAACATAGTACACGAATGGATTATTCTAAAAATCTGAAAGTTGGTTTCAGGTTTGATTTGAGGGTGGCACAAAGGGGGAATTATATATTATAGATTATAAAGGATGAATTTTGAGGTCCTATATTAGGAAGGGGGAAATTAATTTTTTTAGGTCCCTGTCTCTCAAAACTAAGAGGATATACATTTGTTTTAGGGAAACAGAAGGAAGAGAAAGGTACTGCTATCTGTAAGTTCAGATTCCATGGTCATCTGATGGGAGGTGGGGAGGTGGAAGGAGAGAAAATGGTCAATCAAGCAACATGAAATGGCAAGTGAACCTAAGCCAGTAGGGTGGCTTTAGTTATATTATAGAGAAGTGTTACTAAGTCAGAATGGAAACCTCGCCAGAGATGATTTCACCAGGGGCTAGAAACTAACAGTGTGAGCTGTGTGCTTGTTAGGACTCTTCCTGGAATTGCTTATTTCTTCAGTACCCCCTGGTTTTTATTTATTTATTTATGTGAGAGGCAGACATTGATGTGAGAAACATCAATTGGTTGCCGCTGGTATGTGCCCCACCAGGGATCAAACCCGAAACCTAGGTGGTGCCCTAACTGGGATTCAAACTCCGATCTTTTTTTGGTGTATGGGATGATGCTCCAACCAGCTGAGCCCCCTGGCGGGGGCCAAACCCCCTGTTTTAAACATATGCTTAGTAACTTTCAGATACAGCTCCTTTCTATTTTTTTCCCCCTAAATTGCTTGCACATTTAATTGATCATTAAAATAAAATACAATTCTTTCACTTACATAATTGCTTCATTATCTTATGACTTTTACATTTTTCAACTTTCTGGCAACATTCTATCAAATTCACAGGGTTAAAACTCATTGCATTGGATTTAACTTGTTTAAGTCTCTACCTGAGAAAACCACCATGTTTAGGGGTTCAGTTTCTAGATTCCAAAGCTGTATTTGAATTCTTTTTATTCCTTTTCTTTAATATCTTTCACTCCTTATGACATTAAAAATAAAATTTAACACTGTTAGATGGATGTAAACTAGTCATGAACAGAATTGCTCATGTAAAATGGAAAAAGACTTTCTTTAAAATCATGAGAACTAAAGTCAATCTAATACTTCAATTTATTCACACAACTATGATTTTCTGCAGTTAATGGTAATATAAAAAGACAGAGCACATATCAAGGAGAATAATTCTTCAGATATAAAATGTAATTGGAATCTTACTTCATTTATTATGAGAAAGTTTATACCTGGCTCTAGTCACTCAAGAATACTTTGTAAGCTAGACATCTAGTTCATGAGGTTTTCCAAATCATGATATAAGAAAACAGTCACTCAACAGAAAACTAAACATTACTATTCCTGAATAGATAGCAAAGAGGAAAAACTCCAGAGTTTAAAGATGTGATTGTACAATTATTTCCCATTAAGAACATAGGCATTCAATAAATACAAAGATGGCAAGAAAAAGAATAAAGAAGTAGGTATAGATATATAGAGGAAAAGTGGAAGAATGATTAGGGAGAGGAAAACCAAGAGAAATGCCCAGCCGGTGTGGCTCAGTGGTTGAGCATCAACCCATGCACCAAGAGGTCATGGGTTCAATTCCTGGTCAGGGCACATGCCCGGGTTGTGGACCCCATCCCCAGTGGGGGGCATGCAGGAGGTGGCCAATTGATGTTCTCTCTAATTGATATTTTGATCTCTCTCTTCCTCTCCTTCTCCCTTCCTCTCTCTCTCAAATCAACAAAGAAAAAAGAAAGGAAAAACAAAACAAAACAAGAGAAAGAATGGTGCACTTGGTCAAGAAGAAAGACTAGGAAATCCCTGGTTTACTGAGCACTTACTCCATACAGGAACTTGATTCTCTAGCCTGCTTAATCTGCAAAATAAAGGGTAGATCATGTTATGGTCCTTTCTAGATGGAAAAACAACTGAAATTTAGAAAGCTTAAGTGGCTGCCCCAGTGTCTGAGCTGGTAGATGAGTTGGTCCCATTGAGACAGGAGTGTGTGTTTCTAAAGACAGGGCTTTCCCAGATGCCAGTCTAGCTGGCGACAAGCAAGGCAAAGACTGGGATGAGGAGGAACAAGGGGACCACACTAAACTCCACAAAATAGCAGTGTTGACCCATTCCAGTTTATTTTCTGTAAACACCTTAGTACGGTCATAGGGATATAGCAGGTATAATAGATATTTGAATAAGAACTATTTTAAAAAATTTTTTGAAATTGAGTTTTAGAGAGGGAGGGAGAGGGAGAGAGAGATAAAAACATCTGTGAGAGAGAACATCAATTGGCCGCCTCCTGCATGTCCCTCATTGAGGATCGGGCCCCACAACCTGGGCCTGTGCCCTGACTGGGAATCGAACTGGCGACCTCCTGGGACATAAGTCGATACTCAACCACTGAGCCACACCGGCCAGGCAACATAAGGAATCTTTTTTGAATGAGTTGAGTGATGAAAATCTTAGGGAGATAAGACATGGAAGAACAAGAAAGTAGAAGAAAGAGAAAGAAGGAAGTAAAGGGGTGAGAATAAAATGTGATTCTTTGGGGCAGTCAGCCTAACTTTCTAGGTCCTAGCATCCAACTAAACCTGTCAGCATAGTGTCAAGCCTCAAATTCTGCCCATATGCAAAGATTTTTGAAAGAGAAAATGTGTTTGTTGGCATACATCCCCTTCACTCAAACAAAAATACCAACTTTTCGGAAACCCAGTGGGGTGTGATGTTGGCATTCCAGGTCACCTGATAGTTAACGCGGTGGAGGTCAGTGGGTGAGCCGGGCATTCTGGCAGGTGGGCATCGGGAAGCACAAGTAGGTCATTATCCAATCCTCAACCAACAAGCCAACCCAATTCCAGTCAATTAATAAAAACCAATTAGTTCCTGAACATTTGATGTGGTTCCACTTTGTTCCTCCCTCCCAGCTGTAAGGAATTTACAGTCAAACATTTCAATAAAATATGAAAGTTCAATGAAAGCTCACGGCTTTGTTAATTAGGAACACTGTGATTGAATGATTGAATTTTTCTCTTCATACAGATGTTCAGTTTAAAATTGATATTAGTTTACTCACAGGGAAGAACTACTTACGAAAATCATAAAATTTAAAACACAGTATTATCTTTGGGTTGTTCTTGAAAGTCCACTGTAGGGCTAGATCTATCTCAATATCCCAAAATCCAAGTCTGACTGACCTCTTTGGTTAAGTTATATATATTTCTTTCCAAAAAGAAAGCAGAGCTTAATTGCAATAATTTTGACTCCTTTTGTACAACCAAATAATTTTAGAGCTCTAATAAAATTCAGTTTCTGTGCAGTAATCAGGAGTCTGTTCTAATAAGCCAGTCCCCATACTGGTCATAACCTCAGGCTGAGAGGATTCCCCGGTGATGGACGTGGCTGTCCTCTGAAGGCTTGGGCCATTCTCTAATCTCCCTGGTAGCTCCAAAGTGATCCCATCTTTGGAATCCAAGGGATCCTAAATGACAGAGGCTATTGGCAATCCCTTGGGTAATTATAAACTCATGTCAGGATCCAAAAAAAAAAAAAAAAAAAATTGCTGCAAAAAGGCGTTGCTTTAAGGGTTCAGAGAAGCTAAGAGTTGTTTGCTTTTCTGGTATTGGTCTACTGAGACACTCCAGAAAAATGCTAGCGCCAGGCAGGCATAGCATAATCAAATAGAATTGATTATTATGTAGTTTAAATGTACTGAGGATATTGAACTTCCCTTTTTAAATCACAGAAAAACCCCGAGTTAAACTATTCAAACGGGGAGACTACAGTGTGTAGACTACTATAAAAATGTGAGTCATTTAAAAAAATGGATTTAATATCAGCCTTTGTGAATTATATTTGATGTTTCGCCCATCATGCTCTGATATTCTTCAGGAGAAACAATGAACTGTCTGTGATATACAGAAATAATTAAGGGAAAAGTACCTTTTTATTTCCATTTAATAGCTACATAACCTATGTAGGAATACAGAACAATTGTTGCAAAATACACAGAATAGGATGATATTGTACTATCCTTTTAAAGAAGTAGGTATGTGTATGGCATTTTATAAGCTTTTGGAGACGTGTGTGTGTGTGTGTGTGTGTATGTGTCTCTTCAGGGAGTGGTCCATAGACCTGGTACACAAACCTTTCTCTTTTTCTTCAAATAACACCCAGAAGACCTGTGTACTTTCTAATGAGGTTGTGCAGTCCCCTGACCCTATTTTGCCAGCTGTCAGCAGCTGGAGGCCCACATTACTCTCTGTAAAGAGCATCTCTCCGTAGGTTATGATATGAGTAGAAATGACGAGTACAGTTTATCATATTAGAAATGCTAATGTTTTCCTTACCTCTTCTTTCTCGGCACTTTGCAGATCACGCCACTCCTCAGTCACGTGACCAAAATCCACTGTGTTCATGGGGACTTTAAATTCCCCGATGATGTCATGCTTGGAGAAACGGTCGAAATCATACACAGCCATCACCAGGGTTTTGCCTCCCAGTTCCGAGTACGGCACCTACATAAAAAAAGACGAGGATAAAAATGTCACAAAAATGCTTAGAACACATTACTTGTTTATAATATTTAATCTTAATATTTATGTTGGATAAACAGATCAGAGAGATAATTATGCTTTCGGTGTTTTCTCAAATTGAATCATTTGACTCACTGCTTATGGTTTAAATTACTTGGGAGAAAATGGGGACTTCCCTTAGTAATTTATCGCAAAGTTCTAGAAGCTGTTAGTGTTATTAGTAATGGATCTTGCTATTAGTCATGCTATAAACACTTCAAGATTAATACAAGGATACACCAAGCCAATTTGACTACATAAATAAGTTTTCTTTGCAGACTGTTTCATTATTGTTGTTACGTTATATTGTCAGGGTGTAATTTACTCAGGGGTAGATAACTTCTAAGCCACCTGGATACCGTATTTTAATGCAGCAATGACTTACTAAACGCTATTCTGGGAGTCTGGAAAGATATAAATAAAATTTACAAGGTGCCTCACCCACTCCCTAAAATAATTTACTGATTGACAAGAAAATTGATGTTTTGAATATCAGGGATGCATTATAATATAGATCTTGAAGTTCATTCTTAGGTATGACACTCTTAGGATGAGTGGTGGCAAAGGGCCAAGAACTGATGAATTCTCCAGCTGTTCAAATATATCTGGGACAGATGCTATGGTTGGGAGATTTATTAGTGACATTTTTAATATTCAGGGAAAGCAGTGCAATCCAAGTGAGCTACACTTCAGTAACTGAATAGAAATATCTGATTAAGAAATTGTTTAGACTTGTATTGAAGGTTTGATCAATTTTCATACATTTTTAAATTATTTTATCAGTGTTAATGGTTCTTATGCTCCAGCATACATTTCTCAGTTAGCCCTGTATATTAAGGAGGAAATGAGAAGGAAGAATATTTGACCATATATGTATAAAAAATTTTAGTTTTTCCAAAGTTTTGCTTTTCTGTCATTTATTTATTTGGAATTTGATTAAAATATTACCATTAGGAACTAGGATGCTACTTCTTCCATTTTAGAAGAAAAACAAAACCTTCCAAAGAACTGAATTGCAAAGGAAGAAATAACAAATTTTAGAGTAGGGATAAACTCTTGAAAATTTCATCTTATTTCTGAAATCTTTTTAGAGATGTGTGTGTGTGTGTGTGTGTGTGTGTGTGTGTGTGTGTGAGTGTGAGATTGTACTGAGGTAGCATCAGTCAAAAACCTGGGCTTAGGGTCAAATAGGGCTGGGCCTGGGTGTCCCCACTTTCCAGCTGAAGGGACTGAAGCAAGTGAATAAACCTCATCCTTTTTATAATAATACTGCCCAAATCACAGGGCTGTTTGGGGTTGAAGGGGTATATGTAAGGCATTAGCACAGTGTTGGCAGACAGTAGGCACCTAATATTTATTGTTTGAATGACAGTAGTTCCTTCAGGTGGGAGTCTAGGACATGTAGAGTTTAAGTGGATTTGAACTCATTTTTAAAAATTTTATTTATTTTTTATTGTTCCAAGTATTGCAGATGTCCCCCCCCCCTTTTCTCCCATTGACCCTCCTCCTCCCTGCTCCCATGCCCCTCCTGCTTTTTTTGTTTTTAAAGCCAATCCTCTTTAAACTCTATTATGTTTCTATTTCGACATCATATCGTCTATTGGCATTTCAAGATGCATAATCTATAATGTCTAAACTATCCAATTCTCTAGAAACAGTAAAATATTTCTTTTTTTATTTTATATTTAATTCTCACCCAAGGATAATTTTCCATTTATCTTCAGATAGAGATGGGGGTGGGGCAGAGAGAAACGTTGATTGGTTGCCTCCTGCTTGATCCCAACCAGGGCCAGGGACTGAATCGCAACTGAGGTATGTGCCCTTGACCAGAACTGAACCCATGACTCTTTGGTCCATAGGCTGACGCTCTAACCATTGAACCAAACTGGCCAGGGCAAAGTGGCATATTTCTCAAATGCATGGAAATATATTATACTTTGGATGGATTTATGATTTGATCGACATTCTTGAAATAAAATAGAAACTGATAAATTTTATAGACTTTCAAATTTCAATAATTATTCTTCTTAAAGTCAGAGAAATTGCTAATAAAATTATTACCAATATATTTTTAAAAAAAGAAATAAGAAAAACAAAGCCCCCACAATATTATTTCAAATAATGTAAGAATCTGCTTACTAAATTGTGGTTAGACATGGCTGACCTAAATAAAGATTCATACATAGTCAAAATGATTGTAATTATCACTTGCAATATTTTTTAGTTTTATTTTCATTTTGTGTTTTGTGGTATATTGGCCATGCTCTTTATAAGCTGAGTATTTCCAGAATGTTTTAACTACTACTGTAAACAAACTATCCTAGGCATAGAAAACTTTAGATTTTTAACAGGATTACCTACTTTAGGGACTTCTTTTTTAAGAACTCAAATTTCTTTTTCCCCCCTCACCTGAGGACATTTTTGCATTTATCTTCAGATAGAGCGGGAGGGAGAGAGGGGGGAAGAGAGAGAGAGAGAAATATTGATGTGAGAGAGACACATCAACTGGTTGCCACCCACACGACCCCAACCAGGGCCGGGGACAAACTGCAACCGAGGTACGTGCCCTTAGCGGGAACGGAACCTGGGCTTCTCTGGTCCGCGGGCTGATGCTCTAACTGCAGAGTCAAATAGGCCAAGGCAAGAACTCAATTTTCAAAGCGAACAAAGACATTGCTCTTTTATAACATTGGAAAAAAAGTTCTAGAAAGTGACTCATGGCCTCAGTGTCATCCATTTCTTTCATAGCAGGATGTTTGCTAACACGAGGCATTTGCTTTCTTTATGGCTGACTGATAGGTGCTTTTGAATAGCCTGTTAGCATAGACACAAACATTTCATTTTTCAGAAATGTATTGTTTTAAATAATGCATTTTTAAAATTTTCACATGTTCAATATATCCATAAAAGAACTATTTTTATGCATGTGTTCTAGACAAGAGCTTTAGAACTTGTGATTGCAGAGATGCCCGAGGCCTGCAGAGCACGTTTTCCTGTTGGGTTGTTATATGACCAGAATGGCCCTTTGTTATTGTTTTCCCACTGACGTGTCTCAATAGGATGAAGAACACCAGGGAAGAGCCTAGAGTAAAGGGAAAATGCTATAAATTCATAAAAACAATATGTTCACCTCCTTTATATTGAAAAGTGAAGAAGAATGGTTTTAGAGGGCTCAGGGTACCCCTGTACACACAGAAGTTTGCAACAAGAGTACTGTCTATTTGCCCCACATGAACAATGGACATAGCTTACTTTATTCTGTGACTGCACAGGGTTTCCCTATTTTCAGGAAGTTTGAAATTTAATGAAACAACTTCATTATTTCTTTGACTTTATTTTCTAGAGGGGAAAATGTCAAGACGCCTATTGGCACACACTAGAAACTGACCTCACTTTTTAGATGTGAACATGACATCTTAGTCATATTCCAGCCTGTATTCTATTCCGAGGTGGCCAAGCTGAACCCTACATTGGCCAAATTTAAAAGCAATGCAGAATCCTCACTGGGCAGAAAATAAGAATTTAAAATATTCTGAATAGAATCACTTTAATCTGAACAAGTGGTCATGTGTACATTGGTGAGTGTGTGTCAGGATGAGATCAGTCTTTTATCTAAAACATCAGGAAAAATGAATAGTAAGCATAAAACAATACCTTGAAAGTAAATTGCTCATTGAAGACGGGATTGAGGGTCTTTCGATGGACTTTTGTCTCAAATTTCTTCTTTTTATCGGGCAGCAGAAACACTTTCACGTAGGGGTCAGATGTGCCACCCATGTCTAAGGCGGGCAGCTCAGCAGCCTGGATGATCCCTACCAGCAGCTGAAATAAACAACAATACAGCACACACATTGGTGGACATTTTGGAAAAGATTTAGTTGTTCACATTGCTGCATATTGTGATTTCTCCCTCTTCCTCTTTGCTTTTAATACCCCCCCCCCCCCCTTTATGAATCTGAACACAGAAGGCAAATGAACTGAGCTACAGACCCCAGAAACCCAATTATGGCATACGCAGGCTCTAGAAAGCCTGGTTTTAAGCATAAAAGAGGCTTTCAAAGGTTGCTGATTACAGTTAAGTATGGAATTCATATTTGCAAAAGAGTTGCAATCAAATAACTTTCCAGTTGCTAAAAGCCCTTATGCATTATCTTTCTTTCTAGGGCATGATTTGTAAGTGGAAATAAATTGTTAAACAATCACAAGTGTATAATTATAAAGTAGGAAATTGTTATTCTGAACCAGAGTCTCAGTCCAACGAAATAGAAAGTCCTTAGAAATTAGGTACATTTTGAGATAAAAATAAGATCTTCAAGTTATCCTATTTAACTTTTACTTGTGTGCTGACTACTCTTGTCTTAACTTACAGTAAAATGGTTATTATATATTAAATTCTGTGTTTACATATAAGACACGGAGTCAAGGAAATATAATTTCAGCTTCATATAAAGGAAGAGAATATTACAAATACGATTTTTAATAGTAAATGTGACTAAGTTTCTTTTTTTAAATTTATGTTTTTCAAATACAGCAGAAATGTCTGCATTTTTTTTCAAGTCTGTTTTCTTAGTGATAAATTCCTATGTCTTGCTATGAATGAGAGCATAGGCTGTAATTTTTATTTTTATTTTTTAAAATTAATTATTTTTATTGATTTTAGAGAGAGAGGAAGGGAAAGAGAGAGAGAGAAAAACATTGATGAGAGAGAACATTGACTGGCCGCCTCCTGCATGCCCCCAACTGGTGATCAGGCCCACAACCTGGGAGTGTGCCCTGATTGGGAATAGAGCCGGCAACCTCTTGGTGCATGGGTCGATGTGCAACCACTGAGCCACACAAGCTGGACTAGGCTGGCATTTTTAATATTTTTGCAAAGAAGATGAAAGCTGTGAGTGGATTGTTCTAGATGCTCTGCCACCAGACATTTAGGGTTAGCAGAGTGCTCTAGATCCATATGGAGAACAAAGGTAGACTCTCAATGTTGTTCAAGGTACACACTCTTCAGTAAATGCAGTTGCACCACAGCTTTTTACAGCAGATCCTGAAAGCTGGAGTTTGAGACTTTTAGCCAACATAGTGGAAAAGCAGTCCACCAACCCCACCTCCAAAACAAAAAGGTCACCGTTACTTTCTGTAAAACCATGTTTGTGAGTGCATGTTGGTTAGTTGACTCAGTTTTTACCCCAAATGATTATGTTTTCATTTTAATGCTTCAATATCTTTGCGATATCATTATACAACAAGAGCAACAAGAGTGGTGGATTGTAGGTCTACAAAACACAGACAGATGACCGAAGAATAGCTAAAATGGGCATCAGATGATAAAGACATGTTCAAAACGTTTATCTCTTGGTTTGCCAAACTGGTTTTTAGTATCTACCTTTAGACTGCATGTGAATACGCAAGACTCTATTTTTTCTTCACTTTTGCAAAACAATTTTTCTTTTTGGCAAGGAAAGCACAAGAAATATACCTAAATTCTTTAAGAGCAGATCATATATATTTTAAAGATTTTTTAGATTGTTGATAAGCAGTGGAATTCCTCCTTTCAACCCCCCTCTGACATTTCCCTCCGTCATGAAAACGTCTCAATTGGAGTACTTTAGGGTTGTCTTTCAGTTTTGGTCACAAATGTATATATTTGATTACAGCCTTATCTAGGAAGTTACGCAGACTTGATATTCTGCGACTCATTGGAATCATTTGATAAATCAGATCAGTGGAGAGCACTTGGAAAATCAGTGCATAATATTAAAAGCTTCATCAGGTGGAATATTCTAGAGTCTCACAATGAAATGTCTTTTTAAATTTGATGCTTGCTAGAAAGAAAACAGTAAAATACATTCATATATTTGAGTGAAAAATCAGTGCCATTATTTTCTTAAAAACATTATTTTATAAAATGTTATTTATAGTATTCAAAGTCAATTTAGAAATTTCATAATTATGTTGTAAATGCCATAAGTTAGATGTAATTGGTTGAACACTGTGAATTCTAACTACCAGGAGTTAAACCAGGATGAGATACTATCAGATTTCTACTGGAAAATATAAAAGAATAAATTTAAAAAATAAAAATATTGGATAGATATAGAAAGGCAGGTTAAATTTCTGGAAAACATATTATATATGAAGATAATACAAGTTGACTTTGACTTTACCTAGAATATATATAAAGAGGTTTTGCTTTCAACCAAGTTCTGATGATCAAATGTAGATTAAGTGATAGAAATGACTTCAAATGCCCTATTTGATTTAGTATAAAAGATATACCTATAAATCAGTATCTGCCACCAATATGTAACTTTCTAAAATGTATTAAGAAGTGACAAGCCCGGACTATAATGAAACTAATCAAACACAATTATTTTTAATATGATAGATAATATCAACACAGTCTTCATGAGAAATTCTCTGGAAACTGCAGAAAGTAAAGACATTATTTGAACTGTTGATTTCTAAATAAAGCCCAGAATTTCTGCAACTTTCAAGCCCTCACAGCATCACTGAGTCTGATCTCTAACTCAGCCAGTTCCACTAATTCTTGTCTAGCTCCTTGCTTTCTTTAACAATTCAGGAATAAAGGATGAATGTCACGAATGTCATAGAATCTGAAAGTCATTTTATGCCGAGAGATTTCTGACAGCTCTCTTTATGCTGCCTCTGTAACACACAGCCAAGAAAAGGCAGCTAATATTATTGTTAATCTAGGTGGCACTTTATGGTTCTTTGAGGAACTGGAGCAGAAATGCCTGTTTTGTTACCTCCTTTAGTGCTTTGTCACTTTTTGGGCAGCAGTTATAGGCACTAGAAATGAAATTCCTGGTCTTTCTACTCTGCTAGAAATGCTATCTCATGAGGATCAGGAGTTCGACCTAGTATCATTCCTGTCTTTGAAATCCATGGACTACAATTTTCCATCTTTGATTCTTTATCAAACTGTTATATTATGTTTTAAAACTTTGGCTTGAATGGTGGTGTAACTCAAAGACCACTAAATTCATGAAGTGCAAGGAAGATTGTTCTAGCTCAGGCTGAAGGACCTGTGTGGGTGAGACTGTGATTGGAAGCTCTTAGAATCGTCTGACGGCTTCAAGTTAATTTGTATTCTGCCTGCCTGTTGTAAGTGCCATAAGTTAGATGTAATTGGTTGAACACTGTGAATTCTAACTACCAGAAGTTAAATCAGCAAGTAGAGGACTGCCCTTACTTAGACACTGTTTCATCAATAGCTTTCATAATTGCACTTTCCCCACAGCCGATGAAATGTTTTAAGAAGTATCTCGCTTTGATTTCGACTTGGTAATTTCAGACAACATAATAGAATTAGAAAACATGTCTCCCCTCAGACCTGGTTGTTCTGGAAATCATAATCCAGTGAATATTGAAGTTTCCCCAACTTCTCTTCTTCTTTGGGTTCTTCTTTTTCTTCCCCATCAGTCAATCCGGTTTCAGCATCATCATCCTTAAGAGCCTATGAGTAGGGAAGGAGATCATGTGTGAATTCAAACGAATTTTCATCAAAATCCAAATTAAACTTGGCCTTTGGTTATACTTCCAAGCTGTCAGAAGCAAGCACTAAGATGCTAGAAATCTCAGTTTGTCTGACACACATTCATATTTGCTGCTTACATATTTTAAAAAATTCCATTTGTGCACGGAATTTTCCCCCCAGTCAGCAAGCAACATGGAAGCAATGGAATAAGCCCCTAAGAATATTGCAAGCAAAAAAATGTCACGTTGTTGTAAAGAAAATGTCAACTTGGTATTAATTTGGCTATGGTAAAACTGCTTATTTCAGAAGTATGATGAACATGCTATTAACCAGGCCAGGTTCACATTCATGTAGGTGAGAGCGATTTCAGCTATCCATCACGTAAAACACTTGTTACATGCAGTGGAGTAATATGTCGGAAATGAGTGGTCTTTCTTGCCTTGTCTCCTATGGAAAAATAGTTGAATAAGTGATTCTCAGAAAATTTAAATTTCCTGTTTCACATGTATACTAAAAATGGTTATGGAAAAAGAGGAAAAACATGCCACCAGCAAATGCATGTTTAGAAAAACATCTACTCCATTTCCAGTTTAAGTTTACCATTTTATCTCCATAACAGCTCCACAGAAAGCTAGGCTGAATTAAATTGATTTATGGGTCCATTTGATATCAAGAGATAAAGGAGTTATGTTTGCAATTTTTAAAAAACTGAAATTGGTATAAAAATTTATTTTGTTTTAATGAACAAACATCATGGGGCTCAATGCTCAAAGCTCAGTTTGTATCAGTTGAATAATTTTGATAACCTCAAGCTTAAGTGTAATATAAATTGAAATACTAGAAAGCTCATTATTTCATAAAGTACATTCAAATTTTCCTCTCTCAAGAAATAAAAATAGCCCTGGCCGGTTTTGTTCAGTGGTTAGACCATTGACCTGCAGACCAGAGAGTCGCAGGTTTGATTCTAGCCGAGGGCATGTACCTTGGTTGCCGTTTGTCCCTGGCCCTGGTTGGGTCGTGTGGGTGGCAGCCACTCGATGTGTCTCTCTCACATGGAGATGTTCTCTCTCTCCCTCCCTCCCACCCACTCTATCTGAAGATGAATGGAAAAATATCTTTGGGTAAGGATTAAAAAGCAAAGAAATAAAATTATATATTTTCCCAATAAGTACAAAAACTTTGCTACATAAACAAAGGTTATAAGGATTATAAATGTTAAAAGCTTTGTTTTTGGGGACATGCATTCTTATCACTTTAAAGAATTTAAAGAAAGAATTAGAAATCAATGCATAGTTATAATTCAAAATTAACACTGATAGTGTTACATATCCCTAACCACTAGTGAGGTTGGCAAAAATTTTAAATCTTTAATTATTCATTTCAGTTTTTTCTTCTGAGAATGCCAGCATATGGTCATTGCTAATTTTTCTATTGTGTCGTTTGCCTTTTATTGATTTGTAGAGACTCTGTATTTTAGTGGTTTCATCCTTTCTGTTGTTATATATAGGAAATATTTTCTCCTGGTTTTTGGTTATGGCATTTTCTTTGTGTGTTACTGTAGAACCTCACAGGGATCAAGTTAAGACATATGAATGGTAGACTGCTTTGTATCTCTGACAGAGTAAGGGAATCCTAATTCTTGTCAGCAAATTAAATCTGAGCATCCATGTAGAACTTGAATGCAAGAAGCATAACCAGGCTTCAGAAAGGCATCAGAATCGTCAGACCACAGCTCAACCACCCAACTCCTTCCATCGCTCCCAGCCCCCCCACTACATGGGCTGTTTTCTTTGCTGGGAGAGACTTTTCCATTTACTTATCTATTAATACAGAGACCCTCAGTGGTGCTTCCAAATAGTACCCTCGGCCCCTCAGTTGACAAGCTTTTCCAATTCGGCTCCTACCCAGTGAACTTCAGTGTGACCCGCCAATACTGAGACTTGGTGGCATCATATTAATGGAACTTATTTGTGTGGGAAGATCAGATACACAGAGTTGAGCAGTGGTCAACTCTTGTGCTTCTTGAAAATTTTCAGGAGCCTACAATAAGTAGGGAAAATGGAAAATTACCATGAACATATCAGTATAGAAACTTTAAAAAATCTGGTTAACTTGGAAATAAACCATTTAACTTGGAAATATTAATTTATACTTGGATGTTTCCTCGAATAGTAAAGTGTTGATTTACTAATTTATATCACTCTTTTAACTTGGGGAGGGGGAGTCACTAAAGGGAACATGGCAGTCAAGTGACGAGAAAAGAGGGCTGAAACCTTCCCTGAGTGTACGTGTTCAATGCTGTCATAGATATTGCTAACAAATTGTAGCTTAGGTAAACTGCCCCCCTGCAAGATTTTAATTTTTTGAAAAACTATAGCAAACTAATGCATACTTCTGTTGAAAAAATCTGCATGTTACTTTACAACAATAAAAAATGTCATGGATTAAAATACTTTTTCAAAAGTTTCTTTCAGAACTGACAATTTACATATCATGTTTCAGCCCAGTGCAATTGGAAATAGCTGAGATATTAAATCTCCTTCTCCCTCAGTGGTTTTTGCCGTAATAAAAGGTGCAGGACCATCTCTGCAATTATTCTGCATGAAATAAGTCTAAATTTTTGATAATTTCTCAGTGCCACTGTTCATCACTGGAGTGATTAAGTCTATTCTCGTCCCAAAGGCTGAGTTGAACCAAGACATCTTCTGTACTATCACATTAAATTCAGGCCTATTAAATTAGTAGCCATTATAATATCTCGAGAGCAATACTCCCCCCTCCTTCACCCCCCAAAGGAAAAAAAAAAAATGCCGAGGAAAAAGCTTGTAAACCCAGCAGTTCTGAGAGTTTGATAAATCGCTGTAGAAAAAGCTGTGCTGGGAACATGGACCTCGTTTTAAATTTCAAAGATTTAGTGCTCATGCTTCTGGCTTGCTTCAACATTCAAAAGATGCTCAGTTCACAACCATCAAAAGGAGTACTTGTTCATTCTAAGTTAAATTGCTCAGATTTGGATTTGATAAGGCATAGTAAAAAGAAAGCGACAGAGGGATGAATTTCCTTTCTGTGCCCATCAATGAAACACTTGAGCTTTCTAATAACACTCGACTTAATCAGTTAGTAATATTTAATATGAGAACCCTTCATCTTAAAAAAAAAATCAATTTAGTTCAGCCTTGATGTGTGTCAGAATGGTACACCCTCAGATGTGGAGTCCCAGCTGCCAGGCCAGTAAATGGATCCGAGCGTTGACTTAGGGGATCTAGGTAGCAGAGGAAACCTACCGCAAGGGACAGTCCAGAACAGTCATGAGACACAATACAGATAAGGAGGACATAGAAGGAAGAAATAAAAGTTAAAGTATCTACACACATTAATAAAAACTATGGAGAAATGACCTTTCCAGACCTATGGCTTTCTAAGTTATTCTTCCTCTCTATTTTTAGTGTTCTCAAGTTTTAAGGCATTGAAAAAACCCATATATATATGTCCTTTTCTGTGTAAATATGCTGTTTGTAATTAAATATTGGTTGTCATTGCAGAATATTTAAAAATCCTTCCTTGGTTACAAAATCTTACCATAGAGACATGTAGCCATGAACATTGAAATTTGAATTTCTGTGAGTTTTTATATGGATTGAAATAGTAAAAACGTACTAATTTTCTTAGAGCCTAGGTATTTTAAGAAATTATATCTACATTGATGCTCCTATTTATTTTCAAATGAGAAGCACATTGTCTTCCCCATGTTCATATCAATATTCTGTTTAAAATATTCTAAAAATATAAATATTTAAGACTAATTCTACTTAGTGTTAAGGTTCTTCTGAATCTGTATGATCAAATAATATTTGAGTTTTGATGCTTACAAGTAATAATAGCATCTTAAAATCTTTGAGTTACATTTGGCTTCTTCATCTTTCCTCTTTGTAAAATGATAGAACCCATTGCTATAGTCTGTCTGCCTTTAAAACTATCATAAGCTACTATTATATGATTGTTTACTCATGGGACCTACTTTTACTTGTCAGATATTTAATTTAATTATAAGTCATTTAACATTTAATTGTTCATAAATCAAAGTATAACCTATAAAATTCTACATAAACAAACTAGTCTACTTAAAATAATAAAAAACACCTTTTTTGAGGGTTGAAATCCTAAATGCTATATTGTGACAGTAGAATACTACACACTGTCACTGACTTTTTAGTGTTCCCTTGTTTGACTCATTTTCTCTTTCTCTCATTAAAAGAAATAGGTGATCAGTCAAAAATTAACCACAATCAATTTTCTGTATTTATTTCTTTTGAGATCTTGGTCATTTATTCAGGTTGTAACAGGGGTAATAAACACCCCTACTATTCTATATAGTCTTACACCATACAGAACAAATTTCACATAAAAAAATACACATTTCTTGTCTTAGAAAAAAAAAAATCCACTGTAGTTATTTAATATTATTTGAGGCTTTTACCTTTTAATTCTAGAATACTGGAATTTAAAATTTGTTGTAGTTATGAAAATGATAGTATTGCATTTTCAACCTCTTGTTTGATGTAAAGAGCTGAAATTCACATACAGGTTATTCATTTCATGTCCATCTAGAAGTTTGCTTCTACTCTTAGTCCAGTAAGTTGTTTAAAGAAATCTCTATCAAGTCCTGCTTGCTATGGAAATAAAGCAAGACACGATTTAAAAATTCAGTTTCTGTGTAACAGATTAACTAAAGAGAAAATTCCTTATTAGACACGCATTGTTGAAAGTTTGTGTGTCGGCTTCTATGGCTGTGATTACACATTTTTTTTTTGAAAAATGCACCCCTTCTTACTCTGGGCTCAGGTCCTGGGCGTGAGCACTAGCCTTACATCCACTCCCCAGCCCTGACACCAAACAAAGTTCAGCAAGTGAAAAGAAGCCCTTGTGGAGTTGTTTTCAACAGACATTACTGTGTCTTTGAGAAAAAGTGTTTAAAACTCGAACTGCGGAGAGGGTTATTGTTCTGAGTGGGTGGCTAACTAGGAAACCATGAAAATGTACTAAAATGGCTTTGTGGATTAAATTGTTCCTAAGATGCACACATTTAAGAGTTTACTTAGTAGTAATTAATACTATGAGAAGAATTTATAAAGCTGCATATATATGTGTTGCTATTTGGGATAAATAGAACCTTCGAATTATTTGAAGGGAGACAATGATAATTGAAAATGTTATTTCTTAGAAAAGTCTTTCTATATTTTAAAATATGAATTAAATGTTATTTAAAAATATTCAATGTAAATAGAATTCCAAAAAATGAAGAAGTATTTAATCATTAAATTATTAATAGTAAACTATTGTGAACCAAATCATTCATTAATTTAGCAAAAATAGACAATATAAAGGGCACCCAAACAGCTTCCTTAGGCTTGGGAAAATAACCCAGCCAGGTAGATTTTTATCATCTGCGTTATGGTTTTAATTGTCCCTATGTGAGAAAATAATTTTGCCTTTAAATTCTACCTCTTTACGGCCAGCTTATACTTTTCTCCCTTTTCCTGTATCATTCATTATTCCTTAGCACTAATTTTTGAGCTGGATGAGTACATACAGTGGGTGGCTTTCATCAAGTGTGATAAATACTTTTAAGACTCAGTTATATAACTGTGATTAAGAACAGTGATAATACTAGAAAGGTGACCTGCCCAAGAGGGATACCTCTCAGATATTCTTTAATATGTTTCTCAAACTCTGAACACAAGTAAGCTGGTTAAACAGATGTAATCAGAATACTCAGGCATCATTCCAATATTCCTTCAAGAGGAAGCCCTTTTCTGGTTTATATGCTTAGGAGACTCGAAAAGCCTACCACGTTTCTATTACACCTTGGGCTATTGAATAATGATGGAAAGGATTGCACAGCATCTCTCAAACAATGACATATGTCCAGAAGTTGTTTATTTCTATACTGATCTCACATTAAATAATAAACCATTTATTAATTGCCAATAAAATCTAAGAAAAAATATGGAAGGAATACATTACCTGATCTTTCATGGTCTTCCCTAAGTCTTTCACATCTTTCATGTTAATGGCATTCTTCCCTCCCTTTTCCTTCCCCTTCTTCTTGTTTTTCTTTTTGAACAAACATTTCTTACAGACACAAAAGCAGCAGGTCAGGGCTAAGAGGACCACGACGATGGCAATGGCGATTAAGGCCCACGGTGGCACTGAAAGGAAAAGTGTGTAGAGAACATGAGCAGCAGAACACTGACATATGCAAAACTTTTAATTTATGGGCTATGAAGATAGTCACTCATTCATTCATTCTTGTTTATTGAGCACCTATTATGCTCGAGGCGCTCTATTCCGCGTTACTTTCTCCAAGTTGCTTCCTGTGCTGAGTGTTCATATTGTTTTGATTTTGCTTTTTCAGATATGTCAAATATCATTGCCTCCCTGTTGCTTTCCCTGCCCCTCCAAACTCTATTTTCATTAATCCATTCCCTTCTTCATTCAGAGCCTGGCTCTGGAGTTTGACCTTTGATTTTAAATCCTGGCTCCACCATTTACTAGCTGTGTGACCTTTGAGTAAGCTGTCCAACTTCTTTCTGCCTCAGTTTCTTTCTCTCTAAAGTGGAGGGAAATTGGTAGGTAGTTCACAGTCCTTTTGAAGTTTAAGATGAGATGCAGTGACTGACACATGGTAAAAGTTTAATAAATATTAGCTGTTGTTACTCATCTATTAAATACTAAGGGTTGAATTATAATAGTCTGGGCATAATGGAGGGGGTGGACATTAATCAAACGTAAAAATAAATGTAATATCATAAAGGTAGTGAAGGTTAGGAAGAAGTGTTTCGTGCTCTGAAAGTCAGTCATGGGGGAATGGACCCACTCAGGATCTCCAGAGGCAGGGCAGGGTTCTGTGTTGTGTGGCTCTAAACCAGGGTTGAATACAGGCTTAGATACTTACAGGCTGTGTAACTCTGGCCAGATTGTGTAACTCTGAGTTTCTGTTTCCTTCTCTATAAAGTGAAGATTAGAGTGGTACCCATGTCATCTCGTTTGAAGATGAGAGGAGTTAATATACTAAAAAGTTTAGAAGGGTAGCCAGCACATAGCAAGAACTCAATGTTAGCTACTTGTTTATATTAAAGACATGGAGCTAAGTATTGTGGGTAGAGCTCAGAGCATATGTGGGGATAAAACATGTACACAATAAATATGTAAAAAGAGAGAGTCCACTGATTAGAGTTCTATGGATATGCGAGTGGGATTGAGATGGAGGAGAAATGATTTTTAGACGAGGAGAGGCTTCAGATTTATGGCTCTGTTTAAAATAGTAAAGCATATGTAAATAAGTATACTGAAACATTTTTACCACAATTGTCCATCTACTAAGAGTCGATGTGTTTTCTTATTTGGCATTCCCTATACATGTGCTTATCAAAAATAAGTTCTCATGGAAATGTTTAGAATGTCACTTGGCCTGGAAAGGAATTATTCAACTATCGCGATTAATCAGAAGAAGTGGTTTGCCTGTGGTAATCAGAAAAGACGTTATGCCCTGAAATGATAAGAAAAAGTTCTGTTTATTTTTCCAGTTACATAAACACTATTAGAATCAATGACTATTGGATACAAGGCAGGAGTACTTTGATGAAGAAATAACAAAAATATTAACTTCTCATCAAAATGGAGGAAACCCACTCTCTGCTGTCTCTGTATTAGCTTCAGAGAGTAGAATGGGTATTGTGCACACTATTCAAGTTTATGATGAACTACTAGGCGTTAACCTGAGGACGTATAAGAGCACAAGTCCAAAATTGTGTTTTCAGCTATGGAAATGTTTGTGTGAAGGTGACAGATAAGACATGTTTTCTTTTCATTGCCTAATCTCATTAAACAATCATATAAAAAATGAATTAAAGTAAGCTGATTTAAACAATATCATTCAAAGTACCTTAGTTTAAAGCTTCTTACCTCTTTTGATCTAGTTAAAACCCTACCAAACATGAATGAGAGAGCCTATGTATTCATTCAGGTGAGACAGTATTTTATTTATTTATTTTTTAATTAATGAATTTAAAAAAAAAATCTCACCAGAAGATATTTTTCTATTTATTTTTAGACAGAGTAGGAGGGAGGGAAAGAGAGGAAGAAAGGGAGAGAGAGAGAAATATCAATGTGACTAAGACACATTGATGAACCATGACTGAGATACGTGCCCTTGACCGGAACCAAACCCGAAACTCATTGGTCCGTGGGCCGGCGCTCTAACTGCTGAACAAAACTGCCCAGGGCTAAATTAATTTATTTTTGTTACAGATGTTTTTCCTTTCCCCCACATTGACACCCTCCTTCCCATTCCTGTTCCTCCTTCACAGTATTGTTGTGCATGTAAGTTCTTTGGTTTATTCCCTGCCCCGAGGTTAGTCTGATCCCTATTTCTATGACTCTGGGTATGTTTCATTCATCAGCTCATTTTGTTCATTACAAGTGAGATCACGTGATATTTATCTTTCTCTGATTGGCTTATTTCACTTAGGATAATACTCTCCAGGTCCCTCCATGTTGTCTTAAAGGATAAGAGAGCTTTCTTTCTTACAGCTGCATAGTATTCCATTGTGTATATGTACCTCAGCTTTTTTATCCACTCATCTACTGATGGACACTTGGACTGTTTCCAGATCTTGACAATTGTAAATTGTGCTGCTATGAACATAGGGGTGCATATATTCTTTCCAACTGGTGTTTCAGGCTTCTTATGATATATTCCTAGAAGTGGGATCACTGGGTCAAATGGCAATTCCATTTTTAATTTTTTGAGGAAACACCATAGTGTTTTCCACAGTGGCTGCACCAGTCTGCATTCCCACCAGCAGTGTACTAGAGTCCCCTTTTCTCCACACCCTCGCCAGCACTTGTTGTTTGAGGATTTGTTGATGGCAGCCATTCTGGTAGGTGTGAGGTGATACCTCATAGAGACAGTATTTTAATAATGACTGTTCATTTTGAACCTTATAAATTATCTCCTAGTTGGGCTTGTGTGACAGTCTCACAAAAAGAAAATAATGAAAATGCAAATACATTATTTAATCAAAAGAAATTATAGGGATAGAAATAGGATTACAGCAAGAAATCTGAAATAGTGCCATGTGAACATAAATTATAACCACTGAAAAACTCATTTTGTGACTATTTTTTCAAGTGCTGCTGTCTTCTAGATTTTATTTTCAGTTGATCTTCTGAATACTTTAATATGCTATATTGAATATATAAAATTAACAAAATGTCCTCATAGTTTACTGGCACCTTTAGATAGAATTAATTTTTAAAAGCGTTATTTTGTGTAGCCATTTGAAAATCTGACTCAATAGTTAATTATAATATAAACTCACCTTTTCAAATTAAATGAAGTTATTTGAATTGAATTCTCTTGTTAAAAATGTATTCTAGCCCTGGCCAGTTTGGCTCAGTGGTTAGAGCGTTGGCCTGTGGCCCAGAGAGACCTGGGTTCAGTTCCCACTAAGGGCACGTAACTCGGTTGCAGTGCGTTCCTGGCCCTGGCTGGGTTGTGCGGGAGGCAGCCACTCGATGTGTCCCTTTCACATCAATGTTTCTCTCTCTCTCTCTTTTCCTCTCTCTCCTTCCCACTCTATCTGAACAAAAAAATGTCCTCAGGTGAGGATAAAAAAAAAAAAAGTATTCTATTGGCTAGAGCAACCAAATACTGAAAATTTGATATGTTTAATAACAAACACCATTTACAGTATTACTTATTTATAGTAATTACAGAATATGTTTGAATATTAATGAGCAAATCTCATGGGATATAGTTTGGATTTGGCTTAAAATTTATTGAAGGCTTATTGTGGGCAGCAACCGTGCTGCTATTTTACACACATTATCTAATTTAACCTTCACAGCAGTTTCGCCCATCGTCTCTTCAAATTTGTACAGGAAAAGGACTATATGCAGAGGAAAACACTATAAATTGAATAGTTTGAGAAACTCAAATGTCTTTACATTATTAGGTTAAAATGTGCATATTTCAAATGTATACAAAGAAAAAACTTCTTATGGAGCTTTGTAGCCTTTTTAGTAGAACATTTTATACTACAAACAAAACAAAAACCAGTGAAGCAAATAATAGCATAAGATGCTACCAAGAGTGATTTCTGTAATAAAAATAGGCTCATCAAAATATTGCTACTGGCAGAAAGCTATCAGCTTATTGTCACTGCTAACAACTATTATTAAATAAAAATTTGTAACAAGATTTTAAAATTTAACTTAAAGAACTTTCAGCAGAAAATAATAGACTAATGCAAAAATATTATAAATATTAAAATATTAATTTTTAAAAATATTATTTTCATTTTCTAGTTAATGAATTAATTTCATATTATTTAACCCAAAGGTAAACTGATATGTAAGAATTAAAGCTAAGTCAAATCAAAATTGCTTCTGGTTACCCTTGCCGGTTTGGCTCAGAGTTAGAGCATCAGCCCTCTGACCAAAGAGTTGTGGGTTTGATTCCGGTCAAGGGCATGGAGTCATGCGGGAGGCAATCAATCAATGTGTCTCTCTCACATCAATGTCTTTCTCTGTCCCGCCTCCCCCCCCCCCCCCCCCCCCCCCCCCGCTCCTCTATCTGAAGCTAAATGAAAAAATATCCACTGGTGAGGATTAAAAACAACAACTGCTTCTGATGTTTTAATGTAGACTTTGTGGTGGAAAAATGTCCATATTTTACTCCCTGGAAACTGTGAATATGTTACTTTACATGCCAAGAAGAACTTTGCAAATGTGGTTAAGGATCTTGAGACAGAGAGAGTATCCTGGGTTATCCAGAGGGACCGGAGAAACAAAGACTAGAATGGTGGTTGCCAGAGGTGGGTACAAAGTGTGTGAGGGGTGTGTGTGTGTGTAACATTTAAGATATATTGTCTCAGTAAATTTCAAGTACAATATTAAATCATCACATTATACACCTTAAGTTTATACAATGTTATTTATTATATCTCCAAGTTGGGGGTGGGGGGTGGGGAGAAGAAATCAGCCCTGCTGACACTTTGATTTTAGCTCAGTAAAACCGATTTGGACTTTTGACCTCCAGAACTAGAAAATAATAAATTTGTGTAATTTAATGCCTATAAATTTGTAGTAATTCATTACAGCAGCAGTAGAAAACTCGAGATGCAAAGCAGACATCAGGAGATTT